TCATTCTCAAATTTTTGTTGTGTTGTTCTGAATATATTATTGACCTAAAAATTTCCATGGGTAGAATTCTCTGGGGACAATAAATTAAGTAAATAGCTTTTAAATATATCCTCCTTTTACTCCTATATATGTCTTGATATACATATATATACACATATACATATACACACACACACACACACACACACACATACACACAGGTTCACATACACACACACACAGGTTCACATACACAGCAAAAAAAAAAAGAAGAAAGAAAGAAAGAAAAACCAACCAGAGTACTGATCTAGACTCTCTGTCTTTGTTCAAAGAAATGGCTGGTCATGACTAATGTTATAGAACCTGTTCCCAAACAGAAGTAGCCAAACCATTGCAAACATGTGTTGGGTGAAAACAAGTTTGGTTGGCTCGAGACAAAGGCTTATTTTTTCAGCACAGATGGTTGAATGGTTGCCTCCTCCAACGGGCTGCCCGAAAATGAAAGACAGATTTCTATTTCTAATCTATGCAAATATCTTACTCCGCAGGGCATCACAAAGACTAACTGTTTCGTGTCAGACACTGCAGATCCCAGGTGCTCTTAGAGATGCCAAAGCCCATCTCCACCTGAGATGCCTGGTAACTGGGATAACAGCGGATGACTGGAGAGTTAGTCATTAACCCGATCCTAATGAATGTTGTTGGGGCCTTCTGTGAAACATTCCTCTGGAATCCTGCCCCACCACCACTGCTTCCCCTTGGCTGAGCTGCCTGGAAGGCAATTTCAATATTCGGTTGGGAACTCAGATGCTGCTAAAACCTCCCAAGAAGGCTGAGATTCCCAAAGGCTCTTAAGCACTGTAGCATTCTTCACTTGTGTTCAGCTCATGTGTCCATCTCCAACACCACACTGAGAAAACTCGAGCATTTTAAAATGTTATTCTGTCCAAACCAGGTTTCCTTTATCCGTAAGCCTATAACCTATGGCTTGTCTCGCTGAATCACACCTGATCGTGGTTGGTGGCCCTCAACCTTCCCAAATATATGTAATTCCTTTTTTCCTTTCTTCCTATCAACTTTTCTTTCAACTCTTACAACTTTTTTTTTCTCATATTCCTCTATCGTCCCAGCTTTTTAATCTTTTAGTCACTCTGACACACCTTGGCACGTTCCAGTTTTAGGGCCCCTTGGGGACAACAAAAATTTCTGCAATGCTGCAAACATACACACTCAGGCACAGACAAAATGCTGCATGTTAAGCCAGCTCCTAACCTGCAACATTCTTTGCCATGAAGAGTTGGTTAGACCTGAAATCTACATAATTTAGTTCCAGTGTTTAAATCTTAAAGTATCTTTCAATGTTTAAAAATTTTTGTTAGTTTTTCTGATCAAATGTCAGTAACACAGTTTGCTTCAAAATTCTGTATTGGAAAACAATTATTTCCTTAATTAATCTTTATCTGAAATAAACCAAGCTAACTAAGCAAAAATAAATTCTAAAGGAAAAAAGAAAAGTCCTTCCTAAATCCCACACTTAGTAACGACCGCTACCTCAACTTTTACTCTATACTCCCCCCCCTTTTAAATTTAAATACCTTTTGTTTTAGTCTATGAATGCAACTATTGACAGTCAAACAATGCAGCATTAAGTTTACTTCCCTGGAAAATCTAAAACTGTAAAGAGTTTTACAGTTTAACTGATTCATTGATTCCTGAGGCTGGACAAGTATCAGAAACACCAGAGTAGTTCTATTTGTTTTAAATAATAACATCCTCTTGATTCTCAGCCCTAAACGTACACCCAGAATTCTGGTACGGCTCTAGAATCATATTTATAATAAGAGTTTCAGGTGACTATGATACAGCAGGCCCTGGTCTGTTTAAGAACCACGGATCTATTCCAACATCCTACCCAATATGGCAGCTCTCTCTACAGGATAGGTTACCTGGTCCACGCGACAACATTCACAGAGACCAGCGCTCTCATCCTTTTGGAAGTGTTGTTCCATTTTTAGATGGCTCAGTTATTAGAAACTGTATTCCTACATTGAGCCAAAAAGTCAAATTCTTAAGCTCCTTGGACTTCACTTATTGCAGACCCTAATTTTAGGCCATAGCTGACACAGAATGCCCCCTCTTACAAGAGTCTGTAAGTATCTAAAGCTAGCTACTATCATGCCCTTGTGAGACTTAATTTTTCTAAGCTTAAACAACCTTTTTCTTTTAACTTCATAGAACATAATTGAGTCCTTCTTTATTTCAACTGCTCTTTCTCACCAATAGGCCTTACAGGATAGATCTGTCTAGATTAATAATACTTCCTTTTTCTTGTAAGTGAAGTAAGTAAAAATACTACATTTTCTTCGTCTTCTTTTTTTTTTTTTTTTTTGAGTCCGAGTTTCGCTCTTGTTACCCAGGCTAGAGTGCAGTGGCGCGATCTCGGCTCACCGCGACCTCCGCCTCCCGGGTTCAAGCAATTCTCCTGCCTCAGCCTCCTGAGTAGCTGGGATTACAGGCACGTGCCACCATGCCCAGCTAATTTTTTGTACTTTTAGTAGAGACGGGGTTTCACCATGTTGACCAGTGTGGTCTTGATCTCTTGACCTCGTGATCCACCCGCCTCAGCCTCCCAAAGTGCTGGGATTACAGGCGTGAGCCACCGCGCCCAGCACATTTTCTTCATTTTGTAACTTTTTAAAAAAATGCACTAATTTCTAGTCTATGTTTCACCCTCATCACTCATTATCTTGCACTTAATGGCCGAGAGCCAAGAATCAGCAAGTATTTATTAACTTAATGCTGTGTTCCTAGCACCGTGTAAGGTACTCGGAGGATTCAAAAGCCAACAGAAATCATCACACTTTGAGGAGTTAATCATTTCTTGTACAGGAAGAGCTTGGATATGTGAATGAACTTGAAACCAGGGAATAATGGTATGCAACAGAGTGCTCTAAATGCCTATCACATGGAAGACTGAACACTAGGTTGTTTTTGGATCGGGGTGTAAACTAACTCTTGGCCTCTGTTTGCAAATATGCATCTGTTTACAATAGCTTTTGATTAAAAAAATAAAAGAGAAAGAAAAGAAAGAAAATGAAAAAAGAAGACACAAGGTGGCTCATGCCTGTAATCCCAGCACTTGTGAGAGGCCAAGATAGAAGGATCACTTGAGGCCAGGAGTTCAAGACCAGCCTGGAAAATACAGAGAGACTTCATCTTTACAAAGAAAAAAAAATTAGCCAGGCTTGGTGACACATGCCTGTAGTGCCAGCTACTCAGGAGGCTGAGGCAGGAGGATTACGGGAGTCCAGAAGTTTGTGGCTGCAGTGAGCTATGACTGTACCACTGCACTCCAGTGTGGGTGACAGAGCAAGACTGTGTCTCACCAAAAAAAAAGAAAAAAAAAATACATAAACCAAATTAAAGAAAGAAAGCAGAGGCTGGGCGTAGTGGCTCATGCCTGTAATCCTATCACTTTAGAGGCCAAGGCAGACAGATCATTTGAGGTCAGGAGTTTGAGACCAGCCTGGCCAACATGGTGAAAACCTATCTCTATTAAAGATACAAAAAGTAGCTGGGCATGGTGGCATGCGCCTTTAATTCCAGCCACTCCAGAGGCTGAGACATAAGAATCACTTGAACTTGGGAGGTGGAGGCTGCAGTGAGCCAAGATCATGCCATTGCACTCCAGCCTATGTGACAGAGCAAAACTCTGTCTCAAAAAAAAAAAAGTAATGAAAGAAAGCAGAATATTGCCTTAAAATGTACTTAAAAATTTCAAGTGCATCCTTATATCAGAAATTTAAAATCTAAAAACTACATAAAAATGAGGTAGAATGCTCTTCCTTCTTGTAGGCATGTCCCCGGCATTGCTTCCCAAGCATTCAGGATGACGAGGTCCGAGTAAAAGGCAAAAAGTCGAGGGTTTATGTGATTCCTTTTCCTACCAGAAATATCCATTCGATGAGGAGACTGTCCAAGTATTTTAATGGAAAACTCTTACCAATAAATGAACTATACCAACACCAAAAGAACGCACTTATTCCATTCACTGAGCATGCTTTATGAACTTACACAAATCCCTCACTTTACAGATGAGAGGGGGAAACATCGCTTCAAAGGCAGCACGAGATTTCTCCGAGATAAAGCAGACACTGAGTAGCTGGGTGGGGCCAATACCTGGTTCTCCACTCTACTGCTGGCTTCTTGTCCCCTTTTATTTAGTAGGGACAATCATCAAACCTTTTGATCTCTTAACAATTTCCTCCTTAACTTTACTCCCACCTTTAGTTAAATTTCCAGACTTCAAATCCAAAGTCTGATGATGGTACATTTTGTGTGGGGATATTTTTAGGAAAAGGATGGACAAAACAGAATTAGGTCGTTTTGTTTTTTGGTTTTTTTTTTTTTTTTTTGAGACAGGGTCTCACTGTGTTGCCCAGGCTGGAGTACAGTGGCATGATCACAGCTCAACGCAGCCTTGAACTTCTGGGCTCAAGTGATCATCCCACCTCAGCATCCCGAGTAGCTGCAACTGAAGGTACAAGATACCATGCCCAGCTGGTTTTTGTATTTTTTTTTCTTTTTGTAGGGACAGGGTCTTGCTATGCTGCCCAGGCTGACCTCAAACTCCTTGCCTCAATCTACCCTCTCACCTCAGCTTCCCAAACTGTTGAGAGTACAGGCATGAGCCACCACGCCTGGCCAGGTAATTAATTTTTTTTATTAAATTCTTGCATGCCTATTTTACCCACAGTCTAAAGACGAAAATCTACCTGGTTCAGGATCCCTACTGCCCTACCAGCGTTACAGAAAACTGCTGCGGTTAGCTACATGGATTCAACCAAAACTCTAAAGCTGCAAAGCAATGAATAAACAATCCCCAACTATTTTACCCTCTCCCCCAGCACACACCTACACCCACACCCACACACCCCTAAGTCAACCAGCTCATCTACTTCATTGGAAGCCTCACAGTTAGTCAACACCCTTATATGGAACACAGGGGGAAATGCACCTACCTTGTGGCCTCTTGCTGAAGCCATGACACATTTGGCACATAGAACATGACTCCAAAGAAAAGCAGAGGCTCATTAGCGAATTTGTCCAGATGTTTCTTCAGAGGTTTCTCCAGCTCCACCCATCGCGCTTGCTGGCTCTTGCTGAGAAACCACAGGCCAAAGTAGTGCGTCTAGATAAAAGGGTAAAATAACATCAGTTCATGCTCACCACAAGCATCCCAAAGCTACACAAGAAACAAGACTCCAGCATGCTGCATCACACCTGGGGTTCCCCAGCCTATATACAAGATCCAGCTGGCCGGGCGCGGTGGCTCAAGCCTGTAATTCCAGCACTTTGGGTGGCCGAGGCGGGTGGATCACAAGGTCAAGAGATCGAGACCATCCTGGTCAACATGGTGAAACCCCATCTCTACTAAAAATACGAAAATTTAGCTGGGCATGGTGGCGCGTGCCTGTAATCCCAGCTACTCAGGAGGCTGAGGCAGGAGAATTGCCTGAACCCAGGAGACGGAGGTTGCGGTGAGCCGAGATCGCACCATTGCACCCCAGCCTGGGTAACAAGAGCGAAACTCCGTCTCAAAAAAAAAGAGAAAAAAGAAACCACAACCACACACTACTTAACGTACATGGAGCATCCAGATGCAGTATCCCTACTCATTACTACTATTTGTGCTTGTAGATACCAATGTGCCCATGTGAGGTAAGAGGAGTCGCACAGGGAAGGGCCAGTGCTGACTCTTCCGCTAACATCTGAAGGCTGCCTTTACTGTGTGCCTCCTGTATGCTTCATGATCTCACATGGAGCACACTGGCAAAGGCCAACATCGCTCTTGCACCTGCTGCAAAGTAACTTATTACTCAATTCCTAAGACAAAACTGCCTGCCAGCTGAAAGCTTCTGCACTATAGAGTATTTTCACACAGTACCAGATTGTAACTGAGAATTTATTCACTCTTTTCATGTGCTTTAAAAAGTATCATCCTCTTCCACTTTATTATACACGAACTGCAGCAAATCTCCCCCCATATCAGGCTTTGAGAGAGGAAGGATTGCCTCTTCACAGCTGCTGCAGGAGCCCCTGGTGGCTGTTCTTGGCAGATTATGGTGGGATTTGATAGATGAAAGTGAGATTTTCACCCTTAGACTTGAAGCCTAAACCAGTTTCGTTTTGAACAACATGCTAAATGATTAAAACACGTACTTCCATGCACTCAATCCCATCTTTTATATTAATTCATACTAGGATTTCAGGATTAGCACAATAATCACCAAAAAATAGATCTCTGCTTTTGAAGATTCTTTTATATTTCAATTACAGCCTAGAATGGTTTACAGCACACCTGGAAATCTGCCTTCAAAAGAATGTTTTCATTCCATGTTTAATTTCCAAAGGCATTCTTATGCCGATGTTTCCACTCCAGCTGGCTGCCCCCTCAACTCTGCCACAGATCAATCCCTGCCACAACCCCGCCAACATTTCTAATGAAGCTTTAACTCTGACTTTACTAGAAAACCAGACGTGCCCTTGCCTACATAAAGCTGCAGACCCAGATGCTTTAAAGGATATTTTAAATGGATCCACTTTGTGATGGGGGTAACGGTTTGACAAGCTTTCCCCCATGATGTTCCAAATGACAAGTTCAGACCAGAAATCCGTGCATTTCTTGAGGAACAAAATGCCAACAGCCAGAGCCAAGGTTATATTTCTATCAGCTTAGACAAACTAACTTGGATAAATTCTGACCCTATTATTAATTTCCTAGCTCCAGTGAGTCAATTAATTGTTCCAACCTGAGTGACGACAAGAAGAAATAAAATGTGGCTGAAGAGAAAGAAAACAGACTTCGAAGTCAGTCCATCTCCCAGCTTTTGCACTCACTGTCTCAGTAACTTTACACAAGTCATTGAACCTTCTACACCCTCAGAGTTTTCTCTTCTGTAAAATGGGGATGATGGTTACAACTCTCACCCACAGGCTCTGAGAGGTGTAAATGAGATCACAGCTGTCAATCACCTGCATGGCACATGGTAAGTCACTCATTCATAAGCGGTACCTTCTCTTGCTGCTGCGGCTTCACGACTACTGCTCCTGTTACCACTGCCACCACCATCATCATCAAAAAAATGAAAGCAGGCAAACCTCACGAATCTTTCTCATCAGCACTACTGACATCTCTATGAACCAGAGAATTAGAAAACAGGGGTTTATCTGGGAGTCAGAAAGAGCAGGCAAAGGTAGAAGCTGGGACATCTACAAATAACAAATATTAAAAAGATGTAAGGAAAAAAAAATCCCAAAGCTACACTTCCACTAAGATTTTGAGGATCTCATGAAAGGTGATAATGGGACACTGGAACATCACTCTGATGCCATCTTCTGAGATCTATGATGTAGATTAAGCTAACATTAACATGAAGTCTTCCGGGTATTCAATTCAAGCAACTTGTCTGAAGAGGGTCCAAAGTAGTTCTGCATTATACTGAATTCCTTTATGGAACACAGGGCCATATGAGGGTATTCCACCGTATTTTGAAGCCTAGGAGTGAGTCTCCATATAATAAATTAGGTAATATATGTAATTAATGTGCTATGCAGCAATTATTAAAGTTGGAAAAGAGCCCTTTTTATAAGCATGAGTGGAGCAACAGCGGGCAAGCTTCACAATTGCTTAACAGGCTAACGATGATTTATTATCTTTCACTAGAAGTAGTTTTGACATTTAGGAGATACTTTTATGGTCAATATTTCATTCAAATTAGTAATATTCAAATTATAGAGGACCATAGTAACTGCATAAATGTTCTACAATCGATTTTGAAAAACAGTTAAAAATTTTATTGCTTCTATGCCTTGAAAGCTTCTATTTTAAATTTCCTTCTCTCATTCTCATCCATCCAGATCATTAAACCAGACCTGACTTCCACCCCAGAAAACACTCAGAGAAAGAATACTCCATGGAGCACACACACACAAACATGCATGTGCATGCATACAACATAAAACATACACAAAATTCATACTACAGATGCACACACACACACACTCCTGTGCATAAATACATATGCACACGAGGAGAATGATGAGGTACAAGAGAAATGATAGTAAGGCAATAATCTTGAACCACAGCTCTAAATAACAAAGCAAACCACTTCTAAAGAAAAAACCTAACTCATGACATAAATTTTTCATTGCCGTGGTACGGCATCTTCCAAAGGACACAGAATATTTCAGGGTGACTCACCAAGTAATTATCCAATGAAATAATTACATAACTACTCAAGAAATGGGGTTTCCAGTGTGTGGGCAAAATTGGGGGAGGCAGGTAATCTGGACAACAGAGTCTGTACCTATTCACAGCCAGCATGTCCTACCTTTAGAAGTGTGAAATTCAGTTCTCTAGCAGGAAGAAAAGTCCATTTATGAGATCCCCATCCCCACATTGACTTTTGAAGCTATGCCCAATGTAACTTTTCCATTCCCATCCTACTCCTCTTGTTCTTCCTCCAGCTATTTCCCTACTCTGGAGTAGAAAGACTGCCTCAAAAGTACAATACAGCACACATTTATTCTCCTACATCTATACAGTGCCTCACAGGAAACAGAATCAGAGCCTAAGGTCTCGTTTCAACTAGCATGTGCACCAATCAACTTCCTGTATATTATCCAAGGAACTATTAATTCCATCAAGCCCAGCTGAGACCCCACCAGGCTGGCTCCTGGCTGACTTGCCAATTTACACTCTAGCTCAATTTTGGAAGCTGAGCTTAGCTGCTAAACATTGCCACATGTGGAAGAAAGCGTGGTGGGTGACTACAAACAGAAACCACCTTCTTCATGACACCAAGAGAATCCCATCATACTACCTGAGAAGATGCCTGAAATATTTGTTCTGTTTATATCTCAGGCACCAAATGTAAGCCAGACTCATTTAATCCTTATGAAACCTCCTCTGGGTGAAGTATGAATCTCATTTTATTGCTCTAGTTTTCTTAAGAAAACTAGAAGACACAGCTCTGGTGCCATGAGTCCTGCAATAAGACTACTGCAATGATGAGAAAAGAAGCCAGGAGAACCAGTCCTCAAGGACAGGAACCACATCTCTGAAGCAACGACAAAAAATGCACTACAATGAAACCAAGTAGGGAAAGCCACACTAAAATGTCATTTTTATGTGAGCAGCTTCCTCATTTGTTTCGTTTGGGGTATTGCATTTTAACACAGGAAACATACATTTAAGCATATACTAAAAATTCTGCTAGTTTTCCAATGGCAGATTGATGTGTGGATACTACAGTGTCAAAATGGCCATCTTTTGATATTATGAAAAGATTCTAGAGATTCTCTGAAAAGATTCAAAGGAGTTTTGAGGGCAGGGGGCATATGGGAACTCTCTGTACCTTCTGCCCAATCCTGCTGTGAACGTAAAACTGCTCTAAGGAAAGTCTATGAAAAAATAGTTGGGTATGGTTTTGATTTGTCTATTTATTTGTAAAGAGATGGGATAATCCCTCACATTAGCTATTAAAAGGAAAATATTTTTTGAGGGTTTTGTTTTTCCAGTTTTATGAACAATGGCACAGACTTTAATGCTATTTGTAAGAGGTTCAGATGCAGTCTTGGCAATTACTAAGGATTAAAGCCATGATCTTATCTCAAGAATTTTGAAGTTACTCATCCAGAAGCAAAAGTTTAAAATGCCTTGCATGAAGTATTTTAGCATTAAGGAACAGGGTGCCTGTCTTACCCAGTCTTTCAGCTGTAAATTAAAGAACAGTTGCTGGGCTTCCACATCAGATATATGAATTACATGTGACACAGGCACAAACAGCTTACAGATACTTCAAAAGATGACCATAAGCAGACTCTGAAATAGCACTTCATGCAATTACATTCCAATGGCTTTGGAAAAGAAGCCACTATACATCAGCTGGATAACGGGAGAAAAGAACTTGTGTGTAATCAACCTCTACTCTGGGTAGGTCTGAGATTTCTATAACCAACACGTCTATAATTAACAACTGCACCCTCTTCATTTTCCTAGCCAATGGCTTTATGAAAGCACAGGAAAAGAAACTGCAGAGTAACGCAGACCCAAGAAGCAAGTCCTATAGCCAAGAAAAACCACTCTTCGGCGACTGTACAACTCACCTAGAATATATAGAAAGATGA